TTTTTTTAAAAAAAAAAAAAAAAAAAAAGTGGAAAAATTCGTTCGTTCTAACCATTTCAACCACCATTTACCACTTTACGCCGAATACCCCCTTTTTTTCGTGCACCACCAGCGCCACTCTTTCGCAACTTCCACTTGACTAAATCGAAGTCTAAAGTCGTCCGAATATATTCAAACAGACAGAACTCATAAATACATCCATATACGAGGAACCGCACAAATCGTTCGATGCAGGGGATGGAAATGCGCCTCTCCCAGGGGTGGATTTTTTGGCTGGAAGATACGAGATGCCCTTTTTCATTTTGACTCTACCAGAAGGATATCTATATCGATATACCTATATGGATATTCTGTCTCGACCCATACTCGCCCAGGACTCTGTGAGAAAATGGAGGTAGAGTAAGGGCAAGTACGACCTCAGTGTGAGGTCTGGAGGTAAGGTTGGGTCAAACCAGCCAGAAAGGCAGTCCAATTTCTCAAAGCTGTCCAATCCGTGTCGTATGCAAAATCAATCACGCTTCCCCGTAGCCTCTGTTGGTAGAACTGAATATGGCGTCTCCCATATTCGCTTTCTCAAATCCACCAGAAGCCACGCTGTAATCCAACTCCATGGAAAGTTCTCGGCCAGGTCTCGGCTGTCGGGCGCGGGCCTTTTTCATTTATTCCTATTTCTTTGCCACGGGACAGCCTCTCTCTCTCTCTCTCTCTCTCTCTCTCTCTCTCTCTCTCTCTCTCTCTCCCTCTCTCTGTTTTATCTTTGTCTTTTATCTTATATTTTATCTTTCTCTCTTACCCTCTCTGCATCCTATTCTCCTTTGAGCTATATCGTTCTCTTCTCTCCTCCATCATCAATGTATACACTACCCTCATATACTCTCATTGTCAGTCTCAGAGATCAGAGAGGATGCTTCCTTGCTCCAGCATCCTCTATGCATCTCGTCTAGTCAGCTTCGAAGCATGTCCGCACCGGCTCTACACGGACCAGGAAACCTGGCAGCATCTGACTTGCTGATTTTTGTCGGGAGTTTGTTCGCGGACCTGGTCCAGCGTCGGTGTCGAAGACGTAGAGGGACGCCGAGCGACGCCCCGACGCCTCCACAACCACCCTTCGACAGTATTACCGAGGGTGAGAAAAGTTTAGCATACGCATTTTGTACATTGAAATCCTGACACGTTCAGCCAAGTTTAAATTGAAACTCCCCTCTGTTCCCGCAGGCCCAGCCCGTCGGTCCGTGACGTCATCGATAGTCGATTCTCCAATTCTCAGCGACAGACATTACCGTCGCGGCGGGAAGATTCAAATTTGTTACACTATTGTTTCTTTTTTACCAATTGTCCATTCCTCCTTCTCCCCCTGTTCCAATCCCTCTCTTTAATCTCCTTCTCTTTTCCAATCTCTGAATCTACTTTTACTTTGACTATGTATACACACAGTCTGACTTATTGGCCACTGTACTACTCGTCATGGGTAAAATTGCCGTTAGGACTACCTGACATATTTATGGGGGCAGTCCCGCCCCAGAAATCACATGTCAGACCACTTACCGAGCTATTCCCCGGCGTTTCCACCCTAGAAACAATAAAAACGCCCCGAAGAATTATCTGTCGCGTAAAGCACCGTTCAACGGTGCGATCTATGGTCTTTTCCTACCGGCGCTTCTTTCTCTTCTCCATCTCCAACCCCGTCCCAGACCTCCCTCCGTCCTCCCTTCTCCTATGCACGGGACAACCCCCGGCATCGCAATCGCGTCGACCCGTCACTAGCTAGGGGTTCCATAAAACAGTTATGGCTTATTTATACACCGCGGATGCGGAAGTTGTTACGTCGTTATATCTCGTAAGTGAGCTGGTAGATACAGCTCACACGTTACACATAAGAGCATCCTCGATAGCGGAGGATAGGGGTTGGAACGGGTATAAGGGATGATTGTGAAAATAGTTTGAAAATTTTTTTTCAAAAAAAAAAATTTGTAGTCTGGTCCTGTCTTTGAAGAGCGGACGAGGGAGAAAAAAAGAAACAAAAAGAGGGAGAAGACCAGATTACCCCTGGTTCGCTTCATCGACTCATTGGGGAGGGTATTTTTAATTAAATAATACTAATCCCGAAACGAACCCTCCCAAGCAAATCTCATCCGAGCGCCAACGAGAAAGAGAATCGGGAGAAAGTGAGGGAACAGGCTTACCGGGCTTTCTCTCTGAATTTCTCTCTACCTTCTCTATTTCTATATCATTCCTCCCTCCTCCTCGTCTCCCATCCCCGTCCCCATGCGAATCGTCTCTCTTTTAGACTTCGAATTGTAATTAACATTTGGTTCTCCCATTAGTGTAATTAAAGTGCCATTCCATAATCTAGGAGGCAGGACCACCTTATCTTTCAGACTTCAGCCCCGCTCTGCTGGGGGGCCCTTCCGCCCCCTTCTACAGTTTCAGCCCTTCCGCAATGCCGCCTTTACTTCGCGCGACCCTCCTTCTCCTTCTCCTGCTCTCCTCTAGTTTCCGCCAGGACGATAACTCCTTTGCCGAAAGGACTCGCGCTCGCTGCTTCTCCGCTTGAGAAATCGAGGAAACCCGGAAGCCGACAGAGACGGGCGAACGTGGGTATACGATGGAGAGTCCATGAGAAAGGGAGGGAAAAATTAAGGCATTTGAAAATTCGACTGGATGCCTCGGGCATCGACGAATGAGAAGGAGAGAGACGAAGAATGCCCTCGAGAAAATTCAGTCCAATTCTATTTCAAAAGTCAAGATAGTTCTTTGCATAGTGAGTTTCTCGAAAATTCCAAAGTGAAAAGGGGTTCCCGGTATAAGAGTCAAGATCCATTGCGAAAGGAAGGGTAGGAAGAGACGATAAAGATAAAGGTCATGGCGTTGGGAGTGAGACACGGTGGTGGGATTCCGAGGGTGGTGGGGGTGGCAGTGCTAAAATAAAGAAAAGCAGTCGCGCCAGATAAGGAAGCTCCGTTGACATTTTCCGGTGGTTGAGTTAATAATGCGCCCGGTACACAGGGAGTGGATGAGGTGGTGCCGGGACGCCAGGGGTAGAAGAGGTTAGGGTGCCGCCATTCGAGCTACTCCAGCCACTCGAGCTTCTCCTCGGATCAGCAAAGTGCCACCATAAAGAGGCGCGGATGTGTTTATTCGGGAATTTGCCTTCTTTTTTTTTCCTCTGCTCTTCCATCCCTTTTTTTCATCCCTCTCGCTCTCTCTCTTCAACCCTCGCTACTCTTCCTTCCTCAAACCCCAAGGAGACTCTCTTATCCTCGCCTCGATCTTATTTCGAAGACGATCCTTCCTACGATTTATATGCTCTCGTTCTCGAGGCCAAGGGTGCAAACCACCCCTGGTCCTTCTCCCTTCCCTGAAGGATACGAGCGAAAGGAAAATAGTTCCGGGGTTAGAATGGCCAAGGGCAATTATCCTCGTTCCAGGTCCCGGACCGGTTTTAAACGGGTTCGATTCGAACAAACGCGTGTTCCGCGCGTGGCTATCGGGGGGGGCGGGGGTGGTCGAAGGAGCGGGTGGGTCCAACGACTGGGAATAAGGGATGAAGGAAAATGATAAAGAAAAGAGGGACGGAGAAGAGTTGACAGGGATGACAAGAATGAGCGGGACAAGATTAGCCTCGTCAAGTGTGCGCGTCCGTGACAAAGACTCTCCTAGGGGATGCGATACTCCCTGAAATCTAGGGGTTGATCCGACCGAGCGGATACCTCCAAGACTGGAACGCGGGGCACGGGACACTAATGGCATTTTTATTATTTCTTTGCCCGGGCTAATGGGGGTAGTTTGGTCCATTGGACGGCTGACAGGGTTGACAGCTTTTCGCGCCTCCCTTAGTTCCCGTCCTTGGACTAGACTCGTCTCTCCTGGGGAAGCCCGGACGCAAGTCACCTAGATCAACCCCGTGGTCACGTCGTCACCGATAAACCTTAACATCCCTTAAAGGATTACGTTCGCAGGGTAGCTAGACATTTCCAGTTAAGGACAATCGACGGGGGATGATCCTGGTTCCCGTATTTTCTTGCCAAATCATAAACTTCCTTCGCAATAAAGCACACGGGACACGAGCTTTCGTCATTCTGACTCCCCGACCAACCCCTGGACAAAAATCATCCCCTACGGAAGATTATTAGTCTAATCAACATAAAGAATCATATTACGTATACCTACGTACGTATACCTACTGAACGGCCAGT